TCTATCTATCTATCTCTCTATCTATCTATCTATCTATCTATCTATCTATCTATCTATCTATCTATCTATCTCTCTATCTATCTATCTATCTATCTATCTATCTATCTATTTATCATCTATTCAACTGTCTAACTGTCTATCTATCTATCTATCTATCTATCTATCAATATATCTATATCTATCTATCTATCTATCTATCTATCTACCTATCTATCATTTATTTAACTGTCTATCTATCTTTCTATCTATCTGTGATCCTCTTAACTGTCTATCTATCTCTCTATCTACATATATATACACGACGCATTGAGACTTGAAGGGGTGACAGCAGAGCTCTCAGGTCTTGCTTTTTAAGTACCTCGTATATATAAAAAAAAATTAAACTTTTTCTGTGCCCACTTTTGATTATTAAATTTGTTGTCATCTTTCGCTTTATGAATTAAATTTAAATGCATTTTTGTTTGCTCTGACTAAAACGAAAACTCACTTAGCTACTTGCCATAAACTAGCTAGTTTGTATTTTAGTTTATTTCTGTTTTTTTATTTTTTATTTCTATTTTCTTTCGAGCTTCGCTTTTCACATTTGACTTCTAAATTGCTTCTATGGCTGCCTTCACCTTGAACCATGGTTCTCGCTTGAGTTTTGGTTTTCTCTTTAGTTGATTTCTTGAATACTGACCTGCTTCTCGCTTTGCCTTTCCACCATGCCTCTCTCTGCAGCTTTTTGTGCGCTTCTCTGGCCAAGTGCGTTTGCTTTGGTTCTCTGCTGTCTGCACTAATTAATCAATATTTGAGCTTGTCTGCAGCTCAATTCAGTTCAACAATTCGTTGAACTTCGCCAGAGAATTCGCTAGGTATTATCTATATATCAGCATGGCTCATATGTTATTTTATATATCGCCCTATCGCAACATTTGCGAGCAGCGACTATTTGAACAGTTGCCTCGATCTTGGGTTGGCGCAGGGGCTTGAGCTGTGCGACTGTGGCGCTGTGGGGTTGTGGGGTGTGCAATGTACTACTACTCGTACTGTAACGTCTGACTCTGACTATTTGCCAGTTGCGTTCGTGTTTGTTTGTTTGTTGTCTATCTTTTCCGCTCGCTCGACGATTTCTTACCTATTTGGCAGCTTTAATAATTTCGATGTGCGCGCATTTTGCAATTTCTCGGCATTTATGATTATGATTTTAGGACGTGAATATTTTTAATTTATATTCACTTATATATTTGTTTTTTTTTTTTTTTTTTTTTTTTTTTTTTTTTTTTTTTGTGGCCCCGCCTTTCCCTGCACCAACCAGCCAAGCGCCTCTAAAGCAAGTCCAAAACTTTTCCACCCATTCTATAATGCTTGTGAATGTAGCTGTGTGTGTGCGTGTGTGTGGCTGTGCGTGTGGGCTTGTCCAATAATTCTATTTGCGGCACGGCAAGTGCCCGACTTGTTTCAAAATTTATTTTATTTATTTGTATTTGTATTTGTATTTTTTTGAGTTATGCAATTGTAAATATTTCACACCGCATTTTATAAATTTGCGTCAAATGAAATTCGTGTGGTTTTGTGAAATATTTTCTTTGTTTATTATTAATATTAACCTGCATATTTATGTGTCTAATAAATTGCCGAGGTGCTTCAGTCCATTTAATTGCTGTCGTCAATGAACTCATTTCAATTGTACAATTCGATTCTCTTAATTGCCAGCGAAGCGCCTCAAAGAGATTATGAAGTATTAAAAGACTAAATGCGAATTTCGGCATTGGCAAAGTAATCGGTGTGGGTATTATGCCAGTAATATATACATAGATGTCTATACACTCTATAATGCATAATAATTATCATCGCATTGCTTCTTGCTGGAATTTGAGCCCTGATCTCTCAGTCGTTTGAATTACTTTGCGCATCTCTTGAAATCTCTTTGCATGCCCCAGGCTCGTTGAGAATGTGTGAGAAGTGTGTAATTATCTTGTGCGATTGTGTGCAACAGGCAGAAGTAGGCGTGACCGTAAATAGTATATACCGTGTATACTAGAACTGTCTGTTTGCCTATCTGTCGATTCATCTGTTTGCTACGGGTATACGAGTACATAGTAAAGCTATAGAATAATCATTTTAATATGTGTTTTTTAGTTGTACCCATATTCCAGTTGATTACTTAACTATCTATACATATAGATAAATATTGAGATTTCAGCTGGTATTTGAACCAGAACTTGAAAATCCCAAAGGTCTTGGAGCACATTGAGTTGGGATTTTTAATTAGATTGTAAAAATTGTTGATTTTTCCCCGTTTTACATTTATATAGTTAGGTCAGGGTATCTTCATACTTATATATGCTTTTCCAATCTCAGCTCAGTTGGCTCTAATATTTACCAACTGGCTTCAGCTAGTTCCGTAATGGCTAGCTGATCCTTAAAGTATCGTATCTTTCATAAAATATCTGTACAGTTAGTTCATATCATTTCTAGAAGTTCCGTAATAGGTATCTCTTACGAGATGTTCTCTTTCATAAAATACAATATGTCCAGTCAGTTCAGCTTCAATTAGTTCTGCAATGGGTATCTTGTAGTCAAGCACTTCCTCTTAGCTCACTCTTACAAGATCTTCTCCTACATATGCAAGCTCTAATACGATATATTTGCCTAGTAAGCTTAGCTTCAATAATTGCCAATATATCACTTCCAGTTAGTTCTGCAATGGGTATCTTGTAGTCAAGCACTCCCTCTCTTTTACAAGATCTTCTCCTACATATGCAAGCTCTACTACAGTATATTTGCTTCAATATTTGCTGAAATATCACTTGCAGTTAGCTCTGCAATGGGTATCTTCTAGTCGGGCTTGCTGCTCCCGTGCACATCTCTGGTATTCCATGCTGTTTACGCTGGCCTGTCGGATACTTTATGTGCGAGTACTTTTGAGCATTCGCTAAATGAATTTGTGCATAATATTTTAATGAATTTAACGGATTGCCGCATACAAATCATCATTTATCTTCTGTCGCCGCAGCAGTGGGCATAAGTATGTGGCCCGCCAGGGCTCTTGTGTCATGGGCGTGGGCGTGGCACGCAAATATCCATAGACATATATGTATGTATGCATGTGTATAAAAGAATATGTAGACGAAACGAAAACGAGAAATGAGAAAAGCTGACCGAACGGACATGAACATTGATTGATTTCACGCCAGAAAGCAGCCACAGAGCTGCTGAGCTGCTTATTTTTAGCGGTTATTTTCAGCTGGCGTGAAGTTAGCGGGGGGGCCACTGGCGAAGGGTTTTTCAAATGAAAATGTTATTTTAAGTGGTGCGACAGCGGGAGGGCGGGCGGTCGGTCGGGCGGTGTGTGCCGGCTAGCAGGCGGCACATTTTCCTACCCAGTGATTGCGTGCCACGGAAAATGCCAAAACATTTCACACAGCGAACGAACGTGCAACATTTCAAGGTCGAAGCGCGCAGCAATTAAAAGAATGAGAGCGAGAGGGAGAGAGAGTGAGGGGGCCTTAAAACCAATGCAAATAAACGAATTCACGCAACTAATTTTCACCTGCTTTCTGCCCACTTGCAGCCCTTGAACTTGGCAGACCGTTGGAGAGCAGCCGCTCAACGGCGGCGGCGGCGACGGCAGCCGCATGGATCATGCCGTCAAGGCGACGCGCGGCCGCCCGCTCAACACGCTGCGCTTCGAGAACGATGAACTGGAATGCCTCTATCAGCGCTACACCCTCAAGCTGCAGCGCTTCTCCGTGCTGGGCGTCGTCGCCCTGGTCCTGGTCCTCTGCGGTGTGATGGCCGCCCTGTCCCTGGCCTTCAACAACGCGGCCACCTTTCATGTGAGTACTCTGCGTCCTGCTCATGCAAAACTTTTCGTTTGCATTAACTAGTTCCGGTTTGTTGAGCCGGCTATTTGAGGTCTTTGCATTTACCAACTATAAATAGGAGGAAGTCGAGTGCAAGTTCAATTGGCTTAACGTACTGAGAGGGATTTCCAGAGTAGTTGATATGAATTGAAATAGCTGTGAAGGATTATATATACTGATAATATATAATCTACTTACACTATTTATAGCTATATATTCATAGTAGTCGAAATGCTCTAGATATGTTGATCAGCTAATGCGAAATTACCACAAATATTCTGAGAGGGTATTGAAGACAAATTAGATAATATTATTCTATAAAATACATAGAATATTAAACATATAATCATCAAGCATTTCGATTAAATTTTGAGAATATATGTATGTAGGAGCTAAATAGACTAGAACTTTCTTCTCGGTTTTAGAACTCAGAATTATTACCAGCTCTTAACTAGTGTCTTTGAAACTTAAATCGAGATTCAATTTATACACATTGAATATATATATATAATGTAAAATTTAAAACCCCCATTTACTGGATTTAATAGTTACAATAGGATTTTCTAACTGCCTTAACTTTAAAGAGCTCGCAATTGTATTGAAAGACACGTTATAATTAATAAATAATATATGCAGCATATAGTAAACAATTTATTTCTCTCTCTCTCTTTAGCTCCTAAACTTAATTTCTTCACTTAAACATGACTTAGGCTTTAAATTCACATTTTTAGTTTAATGGGCTATTAACTAGCTCAAAAAGTGTGCTCGCTTCTTAGTGACTCTTACTTGTCCTGTGTAGGGCCCAAAGTACAGGGAGAGAGAGCATAGGGAGTACAGTGCACTATAGGAAAAAAGCCCGAAATTTTGGCATCAATTCTGAAAACAGAGCTAGGAGCTTGAAATTTTGCATACCCCTAAAGCAGACTAAGTTAGAATTTCTAGGTCAGCTGACTTTCAACCCTACCTTATATATGTAGTAGGGACAGTCCATACATACGCTCGTACAGAATATGAACTAATTTATATACTAAAAGCTATATTAATTTTAATACAGGATTCTTATGTGTGTATGTATTATGACAGAAAAGATGTTTAGGGGGTATTATTAGGCTCATTATGTGCAATGTGGAGTTGTCGAGATCCAGAGCCGATCCAGCAGGTCTTGAGTGTGGTGGCGTATGAGTATTATCTTAATACAAGTACGGGAGTTGAGTGAATTTAGTGCCTGGCCAAGCTATTTGGATGAGAATTCAATCTTTCAAGGGCCACCAACTGGATTTTGTCTCCCATTTTGGTAATGTGGAGGTCGCTTTCGATATACCTGGCTCTCATGTACCAAGAAGCCTCAGTGATCTTCCTTAGAGTTCATTCAAGGGCGATTTGGCCGCGATACCATATACTTGAATGGCGTAGAACAAGCCAGGAGCTTATAGGGTTTACGTGCAGCCAGCAGCCAAGACAGTTTAGTTAGTTTAGTCATGAACGAGTGCTGCAGCGATGTAACATGGCTTTTGAATGTAAGGCTTCTGTCCTTGTGACCCCATTCCTGAGCCCATTCCTGGAATGCATTGAGATATTGCTGTAGTGCATTCCTGGTCTCTCACTATATATAAAATAGTTGCTGATTTACGAATGAATTTACATTTAATTACATTTTCTAATCACTTTCGTTACAGAACATCTTCAACTCGATTTTGTGTGTGCTCTTCGCCGTTGTGCTGGTGCTGCTGCAATGCTCGGTCATCAAGGATCACCACTTGCCCACGCTGTGCTATGGCATCCTGCTGTTCACGGCCAGCATTTGCATAGTCTCGATGCCGACGGTGGGCCGCGCCTTTCCGGTGGACACCAGGGAGGTGATGGCCGAGGGCGTCTGGCAGATAGTGTTTGTCGTCTTTCTGGCGTATGCGATGATGCCGCTGCAGATCTGGGAGGCGGTCGCCTTTGGCATTTCGCTGCCGTCGGTGCACATCAGCATCACGGTCTATATGATCTTTACGGGCGCGCTGCGAGGCCTGGAGTACACGCAGCTGATTGCCAACATTGTCATCTTCATTGGCGTGAACGTCGCTGGCCTCGTGGTGAACATCATGATGGAGCGCGCCCAGCGACGGGCGTTCCTCGACACGCGCAACTGCATCGCGGCACGTCTGGAGATTCAGGACGAAAATGAGAAACTGGAGCGATTGCTGCTCTCGGTGCTGCCCCAGCACGTGGCCATGCAGATGAAGAACGACATTCTGTCGCCAGTGGCGGGCCAATTCCATCGCATCTACATACAGAAGCACGAGAACGTGAGCATCCTCTTTGCGGACATAGTCGGCTTCACCGTGCTCTCCTCTCAGTGCAGCGCCCAGGAGCTGGTGCGGCTGCTCAACGAGCTCTTCGGTCGCTTCGATCAGCTGGCGCATGTGAGTTGAAAAACACTTTGTTAAATATAGCATAGATTTCTTTTTCATTAAAAGGGAAGTTGAAGAAATAGAAAATTTGTTCTTGATTAAAAAAAATGGAACAAATTTTCTCTTTTTTGCTCTCCCTCTCTCTTTCTTATAGGATATAGGGCCTTATAAACAATTGTTGAGCGAAGCAAAGATTATTCAGGTTAAAAAATACAGAAAAAAATATAAAAAATACAGCTGAAGACTTTATTATAGGAGCATTGAAACAATATGTAAAAACAAAGATTTTTTAAATTAAAAAAAAAAAAGGGACAGACTTTTATCTCTCTAAATAAACAATCTATTAAAAGAAAACTTGATTAATTTCTTTTCTTACTTATGTGAAATAATTTCTTTAAATTTGTTGAATCTAAAATCTTTATATATTTTTTAATAAAAAAAGAAAAAAAAAAATAAATAAAATAAAATAAATAAATATAATATAATATACATATATCTTTATCTCCCTCTCTTATAGGATAATCACTGCTTGCGCATCAAAATATTGGGCGATTGCTATTACTGTGTCTCCGGCCTGCCGGAGCCCCGCAAGGATCACGCCAAATGCGCCGTGGAAATGGGACTCGATATGATCGATGCCATTGCGTGAGTATAGCTCAGTTTTCTTATGAATGCTGTGAGAGTGAATTGTTGATCTCGGATCATGATCTGCCTTGGAGTCCATTCTTTAATCAATTTTCGCTTTGACACTTCACAGCACCGTTGTGGAGGCTACCGATGTCATCCTGAACATGCGCGTGGGCATCCATACGGGCCGTGTGCTCTGCGGCGTCCTGGGGCTGCGCAAGTGGCAGTTCGATGTGTGGTCCAATGACGTCACGCTGGCCAATCACATGGAGTCCGGCGGCGAGCCGGGCCGAGTGCATGTGACGCGCGCCACCCTCGACTCGCTGTCGGGCGAGTACGAGGTGGAGGCGGGTCATGGCGACGAGCGCTCCTCGTATCTGCGGGATCACGGCGTGGATACGTTCTTCATTGTGCCGCCGCCGCATCGGCGCAAGGTGAGTCGATTGAGCTTAGCCAGCCCAGTTAGATGCAGTCGCTTTGTAGCGTTCGCTCTCATGCCCATCTCTCTCTCTCTCTCTCTCTTTGTCTCTTTCACGCACGCCGTGTTTGTGTATTGGTGTCCATGCTGCAGCCCCTAATGCTAAACACGCTTGGTGTACGCTCGGCGATCGGTAGTCGGCGCAAGCTATCATTTAGAAACGTTTCGAACGTGGTCATGCAGCTGCTGCACACCATCAAGTTCTCGGAGCCGGTGCCGTTCTCCAACATTGCCACCGGTTCGTTCCCATCGGCGGCTGCCGCCCTGGGCGGCGGCGCGGCACGTGGCAGCAGCACCGATGCGACCGCTGCCAGTGTCCAGGTGTCGGAGAAGGGTTCGCGCAAGGTAAGTGACCAATGCCCCCTATTAATAGTCTACCCCCATCATTATTATACAGTATATAGTATATATAGCCTATAGTCTATAGTTGAGAGGCCGTAGTCCAGTGTTTTTAGAGTTTACAGACTCGCTGTAGTAGCTCCGTAGTCGTAGCTCAGTTCTGTGCATGTCCGGATATACTTATTATATATATACAAATATACATATATGTATATACATATATATACTTATACTTAGATGTATATACAGTCTTTGGTTCTATGCGGCGCTTAATTGTGTGGGTCAGTTGCGTTCGCATTTTGTCGCTTTTGTCGTTTTCTCGATTCGTATCCCTTGGATACACTCGAATTTCCATAATCTCCGCCGTCGGCTTGATGTAAACTGCGACAATTCTTTATGATTTCTTTCGTTGATTCCTTTCTTTTCGTTTACTTTCAGGATGCGGTAAGTTCGCCTTACTTATAAGTATAGTATGAAATGTACCCATATTCCCAGCCCAAAAACTCGGTCCCTTCGATTATTGTTTCCCAATTTTGTTTTTCTTTTGTGGGCTCTATTGTTTCGTAGTCTTATTTATATTTTTTTCTTATGCGTAGATCAGTTGATTCAGCAGTAAACATTATCTTTTGATTCGTAATCTGTGATTTGTAATCCGTACCGTTGTATCTACTAACATCTGTATTCTACTGGCCAAAAACTATATATCTAAAAAAAAAAAAACCAATTGTATTAATTATCGTGTATAAATTAAAATGAAAACCTTCGTCTATTGTGTTTGTGTCGATGTTGTGCGTACTTTGTGTGTAAAGAGTAGCAGAAGTGAATTGAATTGTACCTATTGGACTTATTGGTAATACCCACTAACAGCAAATGATTAAATACACACACACTAACACGCCCACACATACAATCGGGCAATAAAGATCAGTTAAGTGCATTAAACCAAAAGCTTTAGGCACACTAAAACCGAAATGATTTGAATAATAATTGCAGCAAATTAAACGATATGGATATACTTATCAAAATTAGTATTCATAACAACACTTAAACGCTAAACTGACACTCTAAACCAATTTTTTGCTATCGGCTATCCAAGTTTCAGTTCAAGTTCCCGGTTTCCTATTTCCGGTTTCCAGTTTAGTTGCGCGTTCGTTAAGTTCGTTTTGTCCCGTTTAATTTGCCCTTTGTTTTAAGCTAATTATACCCCTTATCTCTCTTTCTCTAAGCCTTTTTCTATATTTATACTTAACTTAATCCTTAAACACGTTTAACTATCGTTATCGTTGCCGTTATTCGATTACTCTTTTATTTTTCCATCTTTTAAATACATAAGTAAATATACATACATACGTTTACATACTATCTATATTCATAGATATATATACATAAAGAAAAAAACATATATTTATATATATACAATATGAAATACTGTGTATACTTCTCTGATCTAGGTAATACGTCTACAGAAAATCTTGCATGCTACCCCGCCACCGCACGGCATCGGCTATGGCAGCGTCGTCGGCAGCGGCGGCAGCGGCGACGGCGGCGGCGGGGCGGGCAGTGTTCAAGTGACCGTAGGCACAAGTCCCAATTCAACAGCGAGTACGATTAGTCGCATACATAGGCACAATCACAAGAACAATAAAGTGAGCAGAGCAGCAAGCAAACAAATGTTGAATTTTCTTTCGTTCAGTTTTGTGTTTCGTTAAGTATTATTGTGCTGTCTGTGTCTTGTACTGTACACGTTCGTTCATGTTCAAGCGTTGCGTGCCGTTTTGCTAACTCATTAGTGTGCGATTCGTTAAGTTGCATTTTCGTTAAGTTTCGTTAAGTTTTCGTTTCTATTAACTTTAACTTTAATATTTAGTTTGTATGTTATAATAAGTGTTATTGCTTTCTAGTCTCTCTTGGGGCGGGCTTTCCACATATGTATGTATGTATGTAGTATGCGTTAAGCGTTCATAATAAGTTTCGTTAAGTCTCGCCAAGCATCGTTAAGTCGTTCACATCAATTCAAATCTGCGATCGGCCTCCATTTACACACATTTACCGCATGTCCAGTCGTGACGCACTCATGTTCCGTCATGTTTCGCGGTAGTTTCGTCAAATCTCACACAGCATGCCGCTACACAGCTCTGCTCTCGACTGCATGCCCTAGACCCATTTAGTGTGTACAACATTCTGTACTCGGTACGGTACCAGATCTCTTCGATCTAGCCAACTAGCCATCACTCCAGCCACCAGCCACCAGCCACCAGCTACCAGTTACCAGTTGCCAGTTACCAGCCCCGAGCCAACCGAGAACAACAATTAGCACTAACTGAACCCATTTTGTCTTACCTGCATTATTCCCCTACAGTCACAGTCGAAGGTCGCGGACAAGTTCAAGCGACCATTCCGCAAACGTCACTCGGTGGCCGCCCATCATCAGCCGACGAATCGGGTGAATCGCTTCCTCTCCCAGGCCATAAATGCCCGATCCGTGGACTGTGATAAGTCGGAGCATGTGGATCGATTGACGTTGCGCTTCCGGCAGAGCGACAAGGAGCGCGAATATCACAAGGACTTCGATCTGGGCTTCACCACGGCCATGGGCTGCTCCCTGCTGTTGCTAATACTGGGCGCCGCCTTGCAGGTGACCGCATTGCCGCGCACCCTAATCCTGCTGCTGTTGTTCCTCACGGCCTTCATTTGGGTCAGCGCCATACTGATGCTGCTGCTGGCCGTTCGGCTAAAGTGGATCATCTGGGACATATCCGAGAGCTTCTCGCTGCGCATGGCCATCACAATATTCACGATTATACTCATCTATTCCGTGGGCCAGGTGAATGTGGTAAGTGCAGATCGGGCCGAAACCCCAATGCTAGATATTCAAGCTGTTTATCTGCAGTTCACCTGCGTGTCGGATCATCCCTGCTGGGATAATGGCACCTATATGGACGTCCATCCCCTGGACTCGCAAGGACTTGACATGTCACCGCTGATCAGCAAACATAGCGATTCCCATCGCAAGTGCTCCTTGCCGCAATACGTCTCACTGTCGGCGGCTTTTGCTTTCCTCTCCGTGTCCGTGTTTCTCAGGTGAGTCCAGCTACCGTCTGGTACTGCCTCCGAGCTCTTCTTAACACTCTGGCCTTGCTCCTTGCAGATTGCCGATTATATTCAAGTCGCTGCTCGTGCTGGGCATGGGCACCATCTATGGCCTGTTCATTGAGCTGTCGCACCAGAACATCTTTGATTGCTACGACAGTCGTGTCAAGTAGGTGGTCAAGGGTCATTCGATTGACCCACAAATATATAAATACATACACCATCTAATCGACTCATATACATATACATATATATTTTAGAGCAACTATTCCGCTTCATTTGATCTCATTGGCGCGCATTGTCATCTTTATGATTGCGATACTGGTGCACGGACGGCTGGTGGAGGGCACCGCCCGGCTGGACTTTCTCTGGCAGCTGCAGGCCTCGCAGGAGAAGAAGGAAATGGATGTGCTGCAGGAGTCGAATAAGCGCATTTTGCACAATTTGCTGCCCGCTCATGTGGCTGCACATTTTCTCGATGCGCAATTTCGTAATAATATGGTAAGAGAATAGAGAACGCCTCCGCTCACCCTCCCCCTGCTCTACACAGACCCCGCTGACTGACCCGCTGACACACAAATCGTCGTTCGCTTTATTTTAGGAGCTCTATCATCAGAGCTACGCCAAGGTGGGCGTCATATTCGCCAGCGTGCCGAACTTCAATGAGTTCTATACTGAGATGGATGGCTCGGATCAGGGGCTGGAGTGCTTGCGCCTGCTCAACGAGATAATTGCGGACTTTGACGAGCTGCTCAAGGAGGATCGCTTTCGGGGCATCGACAAGATCAAGACCGTGGGCAGCACCTACATGGCCGTGGTCGGCCTCATACCCGAGTACAAGATTCAGCCCAACGATCCCAACTCGGTGCGGCGTCACATGACGGCGCTGGTCGAATACGTCAAGGCCATGCGGCTCTCCCTGCAGGAGATCAACAGTCACTCCTACAATAACTTTATGCTGCGCGTGGGTGAGTACTCCATCTCCAGTACCAACTCTACGGGAGCTCTCTCTCTAATCGTATGCCCATTCCCGCACAGGCATCAACATTGGTCCCGTTGTGGCGGGCGTGATTGGAGCCCGGAAGCCGCAGTACGATATCTGGGGCAACACGGTGAATGTGGCCAGTCGCATGGACTCGACCGGAGTGCCCGGCTACTCGCAGGTCACCCAGGAGGTGGTGGACAGCTTGGTTGGCTCGCACTTTGAGTTCCGCTGCCGCGGCACCATCAAGGTGAAGGGCAAGGGCGACATGGTCACCTATTTCCTCTGCGACAGCAGCAGCAATGCCCTAAATGGCGAAGTGCGCAACGCCATGATCAGCAACCGGACGTCGGCAGCGAACGATGCGCAGTCGCTGTCACATGCTGGCGGCGGCGGCGGCGGCGGCCTGCATCCTGCCGAATACTATCAGAAGGCCTCACAGTTCCAGGAGAATCGCCTCAACACGGACACCTACAGCAAGAAGGACAATGGCCATCTGTATAATGTGTGTGGCGGCGAGGAGCAGCAGCTGCTGCTGCAGCATCAGCACCAACAGCCGCTGCCCGCACCACCCACACAGCACCACCATCTGCACCAGCAGCAGCAGCAGCGCCTCAACAGCAAGCTGCAGAAGCAGCCCAATTTCATGACCAATGGGGGATTGCCCAATATTCGGGAGAATGGGCACAATGGCGAGATGCACTATATGACCACTAATTTGGCGCCAGCAACACTCACTGTTGCAGTGCAGCAGCAACAGCAGCAGCAACAGCAGCAGCAGCTACAGCAGCAGCAGCAGCAACAACAGCTCCAACTCCAGCACCAGCTCCAGATCCAGCACCAGCACCAGATCCAGCACCAGCACCAGCTCCAGAACCAGTCCATTCCTTCGGTAATGTTGCGCGAATTCAATATAATTGAGAATCCGAATACCGGTGGCAGGCATCAGCAGCTGCAGCAGCATCAGCAGCAGCAACAGCAGCTGGAGCAGTTGCCGCCAGCGCAGCGGCCACATCATGCCAATAGCCTTGATGGCGCTGCTGTGGTCGGTGTGCTCGGCGGCGATTGCTTTATGGTGCCGCGGCGCGAACAGCTGCGCAGCTATGCGCCGCCGCCGGCGCTGCCCTTTAACCAGCATGGCCAGCATCACCCACTGCATCATCTGTATCACCAGCATCAGCATATGAATCAGCTTCAGCCATCGTCCTCCAGCCTGGGCTATGGCCACTGCCGTGAGAGCGAGCCGCTATTGCATGCCAGCAGCGTCGCGCCGGTAGCCAAGGTGAGTGAAGACGTTGACCTCATGATCTGGAGCAAAGAGATACTGCTCTGAATGAGGCTCGCTCCCATCCCCAGCCGTTGTCTAATGTGCCAATCCGACAGCCAGCCAGCCGACCAAACCACCCATTTGTAACTAACACCAAAGCATGCATAGAGTGACGGTACAATTTGCCTGTTCAAGCGGCATGTGTCTGTGTGTGTGCGTGCGAGAGAGAGAGAAAGCGAGGCAGAAAGCGACAGTGAATGAGTAAAAAGTTTGCTAGAAAGTGTGCAATTTCGAAAGGTACAGAAAGTGTAGGAACAAATATATATACAAATATATATACAGGGCTTAAAAAAGTTAGAATATTTTGATATTGAATGTATTTTGTTAATAAGCACTTAAATTTAGTGGAATTTCTTTTGATGTTGATGTGAATCTTGAGATTGAATTTCCATTGAAAAGAGTTACCTTTTGTTTATCGTTAAAATATGTTAGAAAATCTATGTAAATATTTTGTAAGAAACTATGTAGTTCCAGCCTATAATCATTGGTATATATGGAAATTCAATTACCTTTAAAGCATTTACATTTTTTATTAGATGTCAAACCCTGGCAAGGGGTTAAGTCTATTTATATATATGTATATCAATTACTGGACTTACAGAGTTTAGTAAAATTCTAAACAGTTTTCTAGGAAACTATATAAGTATCCAGATATGTGAAATATTAAAGGGCCTATTTATAGCCATTCATGAAAGTGAAATGAGTATATCGGGCTTTTTAAATTGAACTAAATGTGAGCATTTAAATTTTCTCATAAGGCTACCATATAGCGAACCCAGTAAGGAGTCAGGAGAGTATATAATATGCTCTCTATGGCATTAAGTTCTCAGTATATCTATAAATACTTTTATATTCCATAATCAGACATAAGTTTTCTCTCAGAGCCGACACACACACGCACACACACACACACACACATGCGCAAAGAAAACCCATTCATTATAATGGAAACTCTATTGCCGCCTCTTGTGTATGCTGATCCATAATTGATAGCTTCAATGTCTGTTATATATACATGTATATCTATCTATATAAGTTTTTGAATATTTGTGTGTCTCTAACTCTGTTCCACTTTTTGCATGCTATCGCACCACGCCCACACTCACGACTAACACCTAGATCATGCCCATGCAGCATGCGCCAAAGTACGAGCCACCACGTTACACCTGTCCCAACTCCGTGTTGTCAATGCAGCAACAACAGCAACAACAGCAGCAACAGCAGCAACAGCAACTGCAGCAGCAACAACAACAACAACAGTCGGATCGCCAATATGCGCTCTATTCGCAGCAACCACCGCTGCCGCAGCTGCCACCGAAGCCGGCATTGAGAAGCTATTTGAAGCCGCTGCCCAAGCTGCCAAACGATATGGAGGAGAGTCGCGAGATGTCGTCGACCGATGATCTCAGCTCACGGCCGCACTCGCCCTCGATGAGCAGCTCGGACGAGAGCTACTCGAAGACCACCGAGGGCGAGGGCGACGAGGACTCGCCGCGCATCAATGGCGGCCATCTGCAGCGCAACGGCATCGGCATGGGCATCGGCTACAATGTGGGCCGCGTCAATCCGCTGCAATGGCTCTATCCCTGCGACATACAAGTGGATCCCACATCGCCCGTGGTGGACATGACGCAGCTGCGCGACTTTGAGCTCAGCTCGACGACCGAAAGCCAGGGCCAGCAGACCACCAGCAACACGACGAGCAACACACAGCCCAAGGGCGACAGCTGCAACAGCTTCGACTACCAGAAGAAGGCGGGCGTGGGCGGGACGGTCTCGCTGTCGCTGTCGGCAGCGGGTGCAGCGGGCAACGCTGCAGCGACAGCCACCAAGTCGCCCTTTGAGAGGGAACTGCAAAGACTGCTCAACGAATCGACGCGAGCGCGTTGCCTGGCCGCAGTCTCGGCCTCGACGGCGGCAACGATCAATACCGATCAAACCACCAGCAATTGCAGTGGTCGCCCCACTGGCGATCTGAGCTACTCGGCGAGCAACAGCAAGCTGAGCTCCATCAATGGGCATGCGACGGGGCAGGGCCAGGGAATGACCGAAGGCGGGTCGAGCAGCAATGGGAATCTCAGCGGTGGCAGCAACTCGAACAGCGGCAACAACAACTATCACAAGGAGCTGCAACAGGATCAGGAACTGATCGCCATGGCGATGCAGGCGAACGGCAAGCTGCCCATGAGCAGCAGCTTCATGATATCGAAGCATCCCGTCGGCCTTGAGGCCATCAAGGAAATAACGCGCCACAAGAACCCCTCCGAGTCCAGTCAAATGTGAGTAAAGCCATAGCAGCAATGCATCCCAGCCTAACCCAAAATCCATTGGCCCATGCAACTGCCAACTGCCAAACGTTTCTAATACCAAGCAGCAGCCACTCTCATCCCCATTGCCCATTGCCCATTGTCCATTGTCCATAGCCCATGCTCGCTCTCAAGCTCTAAATACACTATTTATATATACAATTTTGTCTATGAGGCGAAGTATCCATTGGTGGGTTTGTGGAATCGATCTAACTTCAGATACGCACACACACACACACACACATATGAGGCGCAAGACATACTTGACTTTGTTCCAGGATACACGAATGAATCCACAGCTCCCACATGCAGCAAGCGCATTGATTCCTTTCTATCTACTTCTAATCCTAAAAAGTACTTGTACTCGTTTGATCTTAGTTAAGAGCTCAAATCAGCTAGATGATAGTGCTTGGGATTATGATTATGAAATGGGTTTAATTTTGTAACCTTTTGCTTACAGCAAAGAAATTTGTAAGGAAATTAACTGGAGTTGACTGAATAAGCCAGAAATGAATAAGTTTTACCATTTTGCAGGCAAACCTCGGACACGGAATCCTGCGAGATATTGCACGAGACTCGCAGTCAGATGCAGGCGCTGGCCATGCTCGAGCTGCATGCGGCCAAGGAGCAGTTGCAGCAACAGCAACAGCAGCAGCAACAGCAACAACAGCAGCAGCAGCAGAGATCGTACCGACAGCGCCCGCGTTCCAAGGAACTACAGAACAGCTACGAGAGTCTCGACCGGCTGGATGGCTCGATGCAGCAGCCGCAGCAGCAACAATCGCAACGGCAGCGGCATCACCATCACCATCACCACCATCAGCAGCGACAGCAACAGCAGCGCTCCAATCATGTGGAGCAGGAGGAACGCGATGATACGGAGGACAACCTGGCTGATGAGGAGTTCGAGGATGATGAGGTTGGGCGTGATGTGCGACAGAAGCGCCTGTTGCAGAGCGAGCACAATAAGCTAAAGAACGACAAGCAGCAGCAGCAGCAGCAGCAGCAGGCGCACAACGACGAACTGGAGCAGCAGCAACAGGAAGAGCTGGAACAGGAACAGCTGAGGGGGGAGACAGCGCCGCTGACTAATGGCAGCCTGCGCTCGGAGCAGAATGTGATAAACGACGAGTTGAAGTATGGTGCGGCGCATCATAACCACCAGTCCATGGACTCCAATCCGCTTGAGAGCCAGTCGGAATGGTCGGACGATGATTGTCGCGAAGAGGCCACAGGTAACAAGTCGAACGAAGATCCTCGATAGCAGTGCTTAACTAATCCCCTCTCTCTCTCTCTCTCTCTCTGCATCTCAGGTGGCGCGGAGTCAACAGGCTATATAACCGATGAGCCTGGCCTGGAGAATATTTCGCTGTTGAACGAGGCAGGCCTGACCGATGCCGAGGGAGCTCTGTCCGATGTCAATTCGCTGTATAATGCGCCCGATGTGGATGACACCTCGGTGTCGAGTCGGGCCAGCTCGCGCCTGCTCAGCCTGGACTCGCTCAGCGGTCTTTACGATTGTGATTTGGACTCCAAGCATGAGCTGGCTATTGTCAATGCCTCGCACAAGATAACTAGCAAGTTTGGACCACCGCCATCGCCGGCACAACAACAGCAGCCATCAGCAGCTGCCGCTACAGCAACAGCAACGGCAGGAGGAGGAGCAGGAGCCGGAGCAGGAGCTGGAGCAGTAGCATCAGTGGCTGCAGTACAGTCGCCGGAGCAGCAGCAACAAAGTTAAGGGGATTTGTACTTAAGATGCAAAGAATGAATGAAATTAATGAGCACACAATGAGGAAACCAGAAAGCGAACACTCAAAACGTTGTTAATGCTAAATGCAAATGGTGTCTATTAATTTACAATACTATAACTACCATGTTAGTTACTAGGGATATACACTATTTAAAGATATATATATATACATGTATTGTATTGTACAGGATGGAAAACAGAAGCGAGATACTTTGCGTTCGTACAAGTTCTCATTGGTTGCTTTCCATTTCTTACTTATACTTGATGATAACTAACGGCACTCTCTTTATATATGTAAGATTGTATGTTTACTTTTTTTTAGCCCACGTGGTCTATGTTTAGGTATTATATACATAGTATAAACAAAAAACAGAAACAATACATATATATACAATAGTCATTGGTTATATTACGTGAATTGGCCCAGTTAAACGTTCCAGTTAAAGCCCACAAAAAGTAAAAAGTAAACGTCAAAGTAATTACGTTTCAAATTCTATAAACTTATCCATACGGATATTATATATGCTTCGCAGTATATAAGCAAAATCATCACAATTATTATTAAAAAAAAAAATACGATTTGTGGATATTTCATTTGTGCGCTTAGCCCATATAAGATATAATTTGCTCATTTGTTATGCTACACTATATAAGTACATTATACTACATCAATTGATATACATATGTTTAACTACCTGTATGCCTATATTATTTAATAATCGAATAGTTACAACTACAACAAATGCATGACAAGTTGTAAATAAAGCGAAATATATATTATATATGTAGATCTATATATTTTTGATCTTGAAAGGTACGACAACTTCCAAATAAATCCTGCACACTTCGAGGAAAGCAAAGATATTTTGCAAGGAGCAAGTCGATTGTGTGTTCCATTAGTTTAGCGATATTATTGAAAATCCGCAGACTCTGTATTAGTTTAGATATGTCTAACGCCAAGCGTCTTGTGCCATTTATCGCAGTCTGCTTTTAGCTGCTGCGCTAAAGCGTTGCCTATTTTGAGGCCTGGCTCGCACACACACTTTCTTGTACATACTCACACACACACACACACGCATGTATGCATACGATACGTACTTAAAATATAATTATTTGATATGTATAAGCAAAGTTTTTTCAAAAACAATTAAATATATTTATACAAATATATGTACATGTATTTAGTCGAAAAGGCTTAAAGTCAATTTTTTGTTGGCTGTTGCACAATTCTCGAATTTCGTTCATGCAAGGCTTTTCTCATTTGCTATAGAGCTATGAAATCTGTTTAATCTGTAGCTATGTATATAAGTGCATATTATCTCAGTATAGAGCATATATAACCGTATATAAAATGTTTTCAAATATAAACTTTGAATGAATGTATTGTAACTCAACTCACACCAACTATGGGAAACTCAAAGATATTGTTGATAGCTGTTCTGACAGACAACTAAGACAGATATTAAAAAAAAAAAATAAAAATAAAAACAAAAAACAAAAAAATTAAGAACAACAAGCAAACAAAGATTAGAATACAAATAAAGCCCATATTTTGTGTGTACAATTTATGACGACGCCAGTGAGCGCAAATATTATTATACATATTACGTAATTATGTAACAACAAATGAAAACTTAACCTAGAGAAGCAAATAGCTACGAAAACAAAAACACAGCCCACAGATCAACTTATGCAGACCACTAAATTATATAGAATCAAAGAGAAATTACGCAAAAATATATACACAATAAATACCTAATATATATATATATACAGAGAACCACAGAGATGCAATAAGCTAAGAGAGAATTAGAGACAGACAGAGAAAACAAGTAGAGACAAGAGATGCAACACTGGATGCATGATATTTATTTTTCTGTACCGATTAATGATATCCATGTAATCTACACAAATAAAAGAGGAAAATATATATGAAGAACAAATAAATTTTAAATATTATATACACGCATATACGAATCCTATGTGCGAAGAGAGACAAAAGTAAACTACTTATAGCTGAGTACGGCAACAATTAAAGACCCATAATAAAAACATACAAGTACATATAACTAAATGCCAGCATATCAAATATGTTACAAATCTCAAGTATTTTTATTGCCAAGCGGGAAGGTTTTTCTTTTTCCCAATTGTGAGCAGAGGGTACGTTCGCAGTTCCAATTTTTATTAGTCTATGCATAGTATATGCATTTCTTATGAAATATCAACTTGCTCTAATTGGACCTCACCTCTGTGATTGTTTAGATATTTTGCTGAATATTGGCTAAAATCTGTGGCCTATTAACTTCTACCGAAAGATCTTGAATTGCCATATGTATAATTTCAGTTTATAATTTCAGTTATTCAGGTTACATAAGATACTTCCGTATTATAAACACCTCCTCCGTATTATTATTATTTTTTATTTGCGCGAGGCAAACAAAAAGATATTGCGTACATAGCAACGAGAGACTTTTAATAATGTTAACAAGCACCTTGTGCAGGTCTATAAAATGAGCTATACGATAATCATCGATGAAATCTCTACACTTTCAGCTTAAGCACTGATTGCCTATATATTTATTTAGCTATCAGAAATCTCCGCAATCTATCTATCTATATGATAAAATATCCGTTATATCCAAATATTCCTAGTTATAGGATATCTAACTTAGCTTATCTGTGAGATTTATAGATATATTAGCTGGCAAATTTACATCATACCCATACGACTAAGGAGGACTATTCCCGTTCTTTATATATCTGGAGTGATGCAAGTGCATTTCGTACTTGTTTCTTGTAAAGTGTTTATTGTAGTCAAAACTGAATTGAATTGTTTTTGGGAGTGTGTGGAAAAATTGCTTTCCCATTGTGCTTGAAGTCATCCAGCTATGAAATCCAGATGTGTGGTAAACACAGTTGGAGGCATTTCTTACGCATGTTCCGGACAGACGTTTGGTTTGTTGACTTAACTTTTTAGTAACTATTTGCATAGCAAACAATATATGCTTTACCACATTTTTTTTTGGCAATAAATTGCTTCTTCAGCGATTTGTATATAAGCCCCGAGTCGCGATCCATTGACAGTTATCTGTTTTGCAATGTTGCGAATTGTTCTGGCCATTATTTTAGTGAGCGCTGGCGCGTCTGGAGTCCTCGGACAGACAGACTACTGCGCCGCCGGCCTGTGTGGAGGCAGCAGACACATTGCGTGCAACAACAATGGGGTAGGTCAATTCGAGTCCTGTCGGCATGCGATGGCAGATAATTAATAAGCGATTTTTCTAGGCCTGGGGTGCCAAGTGTCCGACCAGTCCGGCACCCGAGCTCATCGAACTGAACTTGGCACAGAGGCAACATGTGGTGCGTTTGCACAACGTAAGGCGCAACAATCTGGCCCTGGGCAAGCTGCCCAGGTACCAGCCAGCCAGAAGAATGGCCACCATGCGCTGGAGTCCCGAGCTGGCTAAGCTGGCCGCCTTCAATGTGCGCCAGTGCGAGATGAAGCACGACGCCTGCCACAACACGAACAAGTTTAAGGCCAGTGGCCAGAACTTGGCTGTGATTGGCTACACTGGCAGTGGATCGGCTCGCAGCACCCAGGAGCTGCTGACCTCCTCCATCAACTCGTGGTGGAATGAGCGCAAGGATGCCAACATGAATGTCATCAGACGCTATCCAAATAACTGGTCTGGACCGTAAGTGGCCAACAATCGATGCAATTTCCGCTTCCATTTCATATGCATACGGCATATATCACGAATTTTAACTCTTTGCAGTGCTATTGGTCACTTCACTGCCATGGCGCGGGATTACAACATTGCCGTTGGCTGTGCAGCTGCCAGGTACAAAAACGGCATATGGAACAACTTCCTCTTGGCCTGCAACTACGCCGCGACCAACTGGATCGGCGAAGCCGTCTATGCAAGCGGCCCAACCGCATCTGGCTGCACCACGGGCAGGAATGTCAACTATGCGGGTCTCTGCAAGGTGGCTGAAGTCTATAATGTGTAAGCTGCGTTTTTGGTAGTCCAAATAAAGTAAAATAAATCAATGCAAATCAAGAATTTAGTACTTTTCGTATGGTGTGTATGTCAGTCCGCTTTTCTTTGAGCTACCGTCACCTCTGGAACTAAATCTGTGATGAATCACGTCACGGACATTAGCCAATCCGTCACATTTGCCACTCCTAAAGCAAAGGTAGCGAGCGATCAGTCGGCAACTGGGCTGTGTCATTGAAATGCTAAAAATTCTACCTATTCTTGTTGGGCTTTGCCTGGGCGTCAACTGTGCAACGAACTACTGCCAGTACGGCTGCAACAGACTCCAGAACATTGGCTGCAATCACAGCGGGGTGAGTGCGAATCGCATGGCGCAATCACCTTTGGGTCCATGCATAATTCCATTTTGCTTACAGCACTGGGCAGCGTCATGCCCAAGGGACAGTGCTTTGGTCGCCTTTTCGCCGGCCGAGAAGCAAGCGATTTTGAACTATCATAATCAGGACCGGAACATCATTGCCAGCGGCAGTGACAATAGACTGCCACCGGCTTGTCGGATGGCCACCATGAAGTGGGACGACGAGCTAGCCTATCTGGCGTCCCTGAACGTCCGGAGCTGTAAAATGGCCCATGACAAATGCCACAACACGCCAGCCTTTCAGCACTCCGGCCAGAACTTGGCCTGGGTCAGCTATAACAGAGTGCTGAATGTAACGGACAGAGTTTCAGCGTGCTTAAAAATGTGGTACAAAGAACTGTCCAGGGTCAACAAGGGCATCATTACGTCCTTTCCCTCTAATTACAAAGGACCGGCCATTGGCCATGTCACTCTCATGGCCGCCGATCGCAATACGCACGTTGGCTGCGCCGCCGCCACCTATTCGTCCACAGGTAACCACCACTACAAGGTCTTCCTCATGGCTTGCAACTATGCCACCAACAATCTTCATAATGTCAAGGTATACGACGCCTGCCCTAAGCCGGCAAGCAAATGCACCACCGGAGTCAATCCCGAGTATAAATTCTTATGCAGCCCCAAAGAAGCCTACGAAGTAAACAATATTAAGTTTGGTTAATTGTATACAACTTCATTTCAAGCACTTAACGCATATTCAGATATATATCCCAGTAAACACGACCCCCCCCATGCGATTCTCAGTAGCTTATGAACGACATTGGCCGAAACAATACCATGGGATTTTCACTATAGTTGCAACAAATTTGTATTTTACTTCATTTATTTTTTATATTTATTTTTATATATGGTATTTTGTTTTATTTTACATGTTTTCTTACTGTTAAGATTCCTTTATATTTATTTTCAATATAACGCCTCTATGTGATTCTCTATTTAATAAAGAGCTTTGGCCTATAAGACCTTCAATATTATTATCAATCGGATAATCTCACATATTTTTTAAATAAGTTTATAGAAAATCATAATACTTTTTTTTTTTTTTTTATTATTTTTTAAATCAGATTTCTTCACCTTTGAGATTCTCAATAGTTCATTTATCTTTTTTTTTTTTTTAATTTTATTACATTTTTCTTAGTGTTACGGCTTTTTAGGCGTTCCGATATGGTCAACATTTGCGCTGGCCAAGCAAACGTGGCGGTGGCACGTGTCCGCCGTACTCTCTCCTCGCCGTCTCTTTGCAATCACGCCCTGCATCGCGGGCTAAAGCCAGCAGTTTCTGCACAAAGCGTCTGCTCCATTCTTCTGCGGGGGGGGAATTTGTTTAATTATCAGAGTACATTATCTGCGGCTGCTAATGACGTCTTTAATTGTATGTCCGCCGTACGTTCCATTTAGCAATTAGACTTTACACATCTTGGCGAGAACGGAGAGCTGAGTCAACGCTGTGATAAATATTTGATCAATTGTTACGCCAGCCATATATGAGTGTGTGTGTGTGTAGATGGAGATAAAGAGCTTGAGAGCGCGCAGTGGGCATAAAAGCAATGAGCCCTCCCAGTACCGCCAACAGTTGAGATTCACGCCAGACATGCGGAATATCCTGCCGATAACAGTTGTGGCCCTGCTGCTGGGCGTCGCCTGTGGCACGGACTATTGCAAGAAGAGTTGCGGCAACAGCAAGAACATTGGCTGCAACAACAGTGGGGTGAGTGTGGGAATGGGATTGGGAAGTTTGTGGCTCTATTTACAAGTATTTATCGCCAGGCCTGGGGCTCGGCCTGTCCCAGCGACAGAGCGTTGCTCACTCTCTCGGCTGCCGAGAGGAACGCGATCGTGGACAAGCACAATGAGTATCGCAATTTGATTGCCGGCGGCGGGGCCAGCCAGCTGAGTGCCGCCTGCCGCATGGCCACCATGCAGTGGAATGACGAGCTGGCCCATTTGGCCTCTCTCAATGTGAGAAGCTGTGAGATGCGCCACGACGCCTGCCGCAAGACCGACAGCTTCGACTGGGCTGGCCAGAATCTGGCTTGGATCGGCTACTTCGATCCGCTGAACACAACCGCCAGTGCCATCAGCGGTGTGGACATGTGGTACAACGAGGTCTCCAATGCGAAGCAGTCCCACATCGATGCCTTCCCAGCCAACTACAAAGGCCCCACCATTGGCCACTTCACCGTCTTGGTCGCCGATCGCAACACGCACGTTGGCTGCGCCGTCTCCACCTACTCGGTGAAGGGCCAGTCCTACAATGCCTTCCTCATGGCCTGCAACTATGCCACAACCAATATTATTGACGTCAAGATCTACAACTCCTGCTCCGCGCCGGCCAGCAAGTGCACCACCGGAGTAAATCCCCAACATAAATTCCTGTGCAGCACCAAGGAAGTCTATGACGTTAACAATTTGAAATACTGAGCAAAGCGAATGAATCACTGAAAGTCAATATAAATGGTATAACTTACGATCACTAGAGTTTAAAATGCTTGAAAGTTGATTAGATTTGCTAGAGTTTGTGTCGAAGTTAGATAGATATAATATAGTAGTTGCATAGAATAGCTATATACATATATATGATATTTATTGTTAAGATGAATAGCTATAGATATGATGTTGATTCCCAACTTGATATAGGTAGCTATAGATATGATATGTACTGTTAAGGGGAATAGCCATAGATAGCTTTAGATAGGTATAAGAAAATTGGGATGTCTGCATACAGAATGTATCTATGTTTGAAATTTACAGGCAGCAGTAGAGCTGCGATTCTAAACATATTTTGAAAATTGTTAGTTGATTGAGCACATTTGTACGTTGTACTAGGTAGAGCTACTTTATAGGCATATTTTTAAAAAGAAAGCTCTCGGAGCTTCTTTTCACTCGATTAACGACCTTGTATCTCAGATTAATTACTATGTAGTAAAATAAGTGCATTGAATATCAACTACATTATTTATCATTCATTCAATGATGTACTATTCTAAAAAATAAACCTATTCAGCTGCAAGATAGTTTCAAGTGAGACACTCCCCACTATTAAGCTGTGCTACTACCCTACACCTATCTAAATAGACAATTTGAGTTGTCTATATGTAACTATTATTATTATTATTAATATTTTCTCAATTTAAGATATAATTTTTGATCAAATTCGTGGAGTTGTAGTGGAAACAAGTGTTTCTGATGATTGTATATGAATGTTAGATAATGTTGAACAAGCTAACACACAAACATCAATAGAAAAATGAAACGCAAAAATAATAGATAAGAGCTGGACTGACAAGAGTTCGAGGACAGTCGAAATATGCTGAGAGTGCTGTAGCATACAGATTGTGAATTTTAGAGATAAAAACCTATATTTTCAGAAATAAAATATTAAATTTCTGTATATTTATTATTTATTAATTAGGCTAATATAATTAAAACTTGAGGTTATGCATTGTGTACTCGGGCTTTCGGCTTATTTTTATTAAAAAAAAAAAAATCGTAAAACTTGCATTGGCAGCACTTTACCATTTTTTATTTCGATCCGAAAATGTTCCATACTTTTAGGTGCTGGAATTTAATACAATATATGCATATGTGTGCATGTATAGATATTATATATACAATAAGAGTAGCTATACAATAGTAATATATATCAAAATACAATAAAATATATTCATAGGATAGTCACCTGATTATAATATATGAAAATGTATATATTTAACTTTATATTTTGTACTTTTTTACATGTTGAAGACGTACATGCAAGCATGCATGTCTGTAGGTATGCTTGCATGCGTGTTGCAGTCATGTAAAGACGTATGTGGCCATAGTCATGTATATATGTATATAAATACATAATATATATAAGCATGTATAGTGCATGCATGTGTATATGTTGCTCAGTATGCATGCATGTGTACATGTTGCTCAGTATGCATGCATGTACATGTATATTGGTAGTATAAATGCATGCATATGTACGAATATTTGGTCACATATGTCATACATACACACATACATGTAATTATCTATCTATGGATGTAAGAATATATGAATATTTGTTGATAAGAACTTATCTGTATGCACGCATGTCATCTTTTAGAATCGATGTAGCTTATATGTAATATATATGATATGATATGATATTGAAGCAAAATGCATACATGTAAGCATGTATTTGTATTATATTCCATTTCATTCCATGTATGTATGTAAGGTATATATCTGCCTGAATGTACATATGTATAAATGTAACTATGTATTTATTCAAGTACATATGCATGTACATATATATTTATTTATTTATGTATATTATGACAAATAACTACATAGCTATATATGTATGTGTGTATGTATGCATATTTGTATTTACGCCAGCCGCCAGCTTGTTGTCGCATTCCGTGCCCCATTGACTGCCTCTTTGATTTGGATTCCAGCATGCGTATGCGAATTGCTGCCGGCAACTGTTGTCAATTGTCAATTGCAATTGCCGTGATAAGCGCGTGGCAGCGCCATCTCAGTCCATAGCTCCAAGCCAAAAACCCAAATAGCGCACAGCCACCCACGGCCCTCCGCTCCCCCGCTCCACCATCTCCAGTCCACGTAGCGGCGTCAGTTGTGCTCTGTCATTGTTGTTACATGCCGAATTTGTCGTGGAATGTTTTGGTAATCAATTTATATGTTCCGTGGCTTCCCCAGCCCCAGCTCGAGCCCCAGCTACAGCAGCATCTCCAGCCTCAACATTATTTCGAAATGCGCGCCCCGACTCCTGCTGCCATTAGTTTTGTGGTCCAACAACGGCGCCAGCGACTGGCAGCTGTCTACAGCCAAGTTAGCTGGCGAAATTCACCTGTAAAAGTTCTCAGCTCGCCTAGCTAACTGATATTCCGCTCTGTTATTTTACGTTACAGTTGCCTGCAGGCCCCCTCAGCAGCAGCAGGAGCAGCAGCAGCAGCAGCAACAGCTCCAGATCCATCTTCCACAGTTGATGCGGCTTCTGCTTCAGCTTCAGCTTCAGCTTTTTGTACGTGAAAATGAAGCGTTTTCCATTTGATTATAAGAAAACATGTTTGGCATATTGATGAATGCCTCCAGAGAATTGTTGTCTCCAGTTGGCGCACGGTCGGTGCTGGTACGGCACATCCACAACTTGCAGCAAGGATTGGAATTAGGTGGTGACGGCCACCGCGCCCGATTTTAATGATGTGACTGACGGGCGAAAGCGCTTACCAAAAATGTACTCTGCCCTCCCTTTTGTTTTGATATTTTTTCATATTTCCTTGACAGCCAACCGCCAGCACCCGCAGCATCACCACCCACACCCCCCGCAGCTACCGCACACCCGATTGTCTGTTTATTTATGCGTGCGCCGGAGTTTGTTTGCTTTGTGAATACGTGATGCGCCCACGGGTAATGGCAGGCAGCATCGAAGATGATGTCGAGCTTGAGGACGATGGGGAGGATGAGGCTGTGCTTTACACATTTGCTTATGCCAGCAAAATATTTTTAGTTGCCAGCTTTCGAAATAATAATAATAATAATAATAATTTCTCACTTCATTTGTTGCGCAAATCGAAAATGAGCTTCGTCTGTGGATCTGGAAACTGGGGCAGGGGATGCCTGTGCGCCGCCTTGGCTTCTCGCCTGATGGCCGTTGATGGGTTTTCTCTGGGCTCCCCTTCAACTGTTTGAAGCGTTGAATTTCAATGAGCTGGCAACGCTGCGTATGCGCAATTTGTGCAGCCAACGGTAATCAGCAGGGATGCAGAATCTGAGTCCGAATCAGTGGACTGCGGCAAGCGTGCAGCCCGAGCATGTATATACCCTAGCCGCGGGTATTTTAGCATACAAGACAGCTCTATAAATATATGTCTTATAAGCCAACTATATGCATATACGATTATGGCAATGCCTGAAGTAGGTTAACTTCTTAATACCTGTACTTCCAAACAACTTTTTATAGCTATACTAAGTCGTATTCTATAAAATATATACATATATCTTTTATAAATATATATCTCTTCTTTCCATTAAAGATTAAATTTATTTATCAATATATATTGATATTCCACCATATATACATTTTTATTTTTTATTTCTGAATAAAGTTGAAAGCTGAAATTCGAGAAAATTTTTATGCTACAAATCGTTAAAATTCAATTACAGAAAATTACAGAACGCAACAGTCGAGGCAAGGGCGGCAGCGGCAGGAGGAGGCGACGGCGGCAGCAGCAGCAGCAGCAGGAGATGGCAGTAGAAGCAGCCACAATTTAAATTATCGAAAAGGTGTGCGCTGTGTGTCTGTGTGTGTGTGCGTGTGTGTGCGAGTATCTATTTAAGCGCTGCGCAGGAAGCCATAAAAATTGTTGCTAGCAGGAAGCAGAAGCGGCGCCAACTTTTGCACAAGATACGAGCACGAGCCAAGCGAGAGTTTTTGCCAGCCATCACTCTCTCCCTTTCCCTCTCTCTCTCTCTCTGTGTCTCTGTTTCTCTCTTGGCATTTCGTTCGGCTGCCGCTGTAACGCTGCATGCGCTAAAATCGTTTAAAGTCGGCGATGTATTAGCATTTCACTTGAGAAAAGTTTATCGAAAGGCAATCATAAGGCAATTTATAAACGGACATGCAAAACTTTTGTGGCTCAAGTTAACTCAGCAGGGAACAGCAGCAGCACCACCACCACCACCACCACCAGTCCGGAAAGCAGTTAACAAATTGGAAAGCCACTTAAACTCATCACTGATAGCGGCGTCGACCAGGTCGAAAGTGCAAGTTGAGCTAAAGTTTTTAAGCCGATGGATGCCAGCGACAAAGATTTTACCAAATTGAATTGAGCTGCTTCGGATCTGGGCTATAAAAACAACAGAGCGCCGCCGATAAGCTAGTCTGCAAATGAATGCAGCTGCCTGCGCCTGTGGCTAGCAGCAGTGGCATTTACTCATTTTACTGCTTCTTCCTCAGCTCCTTTGACTTCAGCTTGAACATCTTCTTCTGCTTGTTCGCTTTCCTCTGCTTTAATCATATTAGATTAGCTGCCAAGTTGTGAGCCAATTTCAATTTGTGTGCGCTGGCAACATTTTTATTTTATTTTTTATATTTTTCTGCTCCAGCAGCCTGAGACTGAGAGAGAGAGAGGGAGTTTATTTGTGCTGTACTTAAAGTGCTAACGGTGTCAATGGAATCCGCCAGATTCTCGACTTTGCCTTAACTAATACCCAGACACTTGAGGCTCTCTATGATTTCTAATTTATATTGTCGCTGGGCCAAAGAGAGGCGTTTGGTGTGCAGCGGCTTAGCTCACTTATTTTTTATGTTACCACCTCATGCTACTCATGGCTCAGCTCCTTCTGCGTGTCGTTGACATGTCGAGTGTGCCAGTGTGTGCATGTGTGTGTGCGTGTGTGTGTGCCCTGCATGCCGTAGCATACTTTTCAGCGTTGCCATTCATTAATCAAGTTCAGGGCACTTTAAAGTGGAGATGGCTCTGGCTCTGGCTCTGGCGCGACAATGTCAGCACCTCACACAGACGCAGACACACACACACACGCGCACACATGCCCACACATTTATAAGCATAATACATAAAGCATGTTATAATGATGCAATAACAAAGCCGCAGCAGTTGGCAGCGGCCTCATAGTTAGGCAAATCCTGTGGGAGGCCTTGTTGCCACGTCTACGCCAGCCACGCCCCCCCCCTGCCCAGCACTCATCGGTCGGGCCATAAACGTTGATAAAGTCATAAAAAAAAAAAGTAAAGAAACCAAACATACCCAAGAAAGAATATAATAATAACCCAGCAGCAGCAGCAGCATCTTGACTGCCCGAACAAACAAAGGCTTAGCCAGGGGCCAGGGGACGGGCCGAGCCATTCGGCATATGTTGCCTAACAGCAGCAGCAGATTCTATAGCTGTAGCAACTGTATCAGTAGCAGTAACAATAACACATTGCGGTTCTTATCAGGAATGGCCAAAAAAAAAAAAAAAAAAAAACTAAGCAAGCCCCTCCCTGGCTTATCCCAGGGGCCTCGCTCATTGCCGTCCGGTCTGCGAGTTAAATTGAGTGAACGCATGCAACTTGGGGCCATATAAGATAATAAATATGTGGATAAAAATACAAGCACACACACACACACAGACAGTGGCACACATATTGTATATATATATATAAATGTATAGCCATATATAAGTATTTGGCTAAGTAGCATACATAAAACGCACGTCCCAAGGGCGCAGTTGACACGCCAAGTACTGAACGGAAGGTGCATGCAACATTGCTACGTTGCCACGTTCCCGAAATGAGCAGCAAAGTACTGGTGTGCGTGTGTGTGTGTGTAGCGTCTCATTACGGCGACAGTCAATCAATCAATTGGACAGATCGCCAGCCAAAATGCAAAGGAACAACTTAATTTATGAGCAAAAGTTTGCAAAGGGAATGATTAAACAGCGCTTTAGCAGCTCAATGGCCATACACATGTGTGTGTGTGTGCGTGTGTGTAAGTTTTCAAAGCTCCATTGCCATCTAAACTCTGCTCTGCGTGCACGTCTGTCCGCTATCATGCATGCAATCGTCCTTCGACCAGACCTGTTGCTGCGGTTTTCCAATCAACATCCAAAACTTCACAGCAGGCGACCAAAAAGCTAATCATTATCATCAGAGGAATACCGAGCAGCGCCAGTGTGGTTTTGCCATGAATAAACGGACAATAGCTGCGGCAGACACAGTTCAAATTCGACTGTGTAGTGTATGGGCAATAATGAGAATATACAATACAGACAAATTATTTTAATTTCGTTTTATTTGCAATCTTACTACTAAATCGTACGCCGAACAATAACAAAATAAAAAGCTCAGTCTATACAATTAAATATTTAAATTAATCACTAAATCTACTCTCCGATTGGCAAGTCCAGAGCGTGAAATCCAGTAGAAAATCTTTGGGGCATCTTTAATCATCCGAACTGAGAGCAATTTGCTAATTAACAATTAAACATCCAAGTACTTTTAAGCCTGATTAATTCAATACTTTTCAAATGGCTTTTACAATTTGCATCGGATTTTGAGTTTGTTCTTTATTAATAAATGAAAAAAAAAGAAGTAGCAAGTTTTTAATACAATATAAATAACAGCTTTTTATTTTCCGAATCAAATTTCAATCAAATGTTTTTCAGTGTATTTCAAGCAGTTGCCACTTTTGTTATATTATTTTCAAGAATATTTCAACGATAGTTTTTGAGACAGTTTAAATACCTAACCTATTAAATACTTCTCCCACTCAAGTCGACACCAACTAATATAGAGTCGTTTCGTATCAGAGCCGAATTTGACTTTTGCCTTCCATACTAGGACTAAATTGTTGATTTGGTTGAACCCTCAGCCTCCCACCAGAGGTCTATTTCCTTCAACCCGCCTACATCAATTGCTGCTTAGAAGCCTTCAAACTCTGGCCTTTCCGTTAGCTGGCTGCTTCCGACGTTCCGTCAACCATTGACTTTACAATGTCATCTCATGGAGAGCCCTCGAAGCAGGATAAGGAAATCTTATACTATTCTTGCTCTTATCCCAACGATTGCTTGAACACCTTCACCTCCCACAAGAGGACCGCTCTTCACTTTCCAATATTCGATTCGAGCCAATAGAGTATTGATTTGGTAAAAGAATTTATGTAAATTGTAATATAGAAAATTTAAATTTAATAAAGTCTTCGCAGCCCCAAACTAATATGGAGAAACAAGCAGCTAATACATAGAATGCTTGAACACCTTGACCTTCTACAAGAGGACCGCTCTTCACTACAAAGAAATGTGAATAGACTTTTCTTAAAAAGTATCGCTGGTGACTCAAATCGAACGCAATATCAGTGAAAGCTCAGCATACTGCAAGAGAGTCGATCAAGAGCGCAAAGCGATTAATATTAAACGAAACTGCCACATAGTAAAAAAAAAACAAAAAAAAACTTCGAAGCCACCGACTAAATTGTTGATTTGCTTGAACACCTTCACCTTCCACAAAAGGACCGCTCTTCACTTTTTCACTATACAAACAAATGTGAATAGACTTTTCTTAAAAAGTATCGCTGGTGCTATGTCTTTAGTGACACAAACCGCACGCAATAGCAATGACAGCTCAGCATACTGCAGGAGAGTCGATCAAGAGCGCAAAGCGATTAATATTAAACGAAACTGCCACATAGTTAAAAAAAACAAAAAAACTTCGAAGCCCCCGACTAAATTGTTGATTTGGTTGAGCCCTCAGCCTCCCACCAGAGGTCTATTTCCTTCAACCCGCCGACATCAATTGCTGCTTAGAAAGCCTTCAAACTTTGGCCTTTCCGTTAGCTGGCTGCTTCCGACGTTCCGTCAGACATTGACTCTACAATGTAATCTCATGGAGAGCCCTCGAAGCAGGAGAAGCAAATCTTATACTTCACTTTCAAATATTCGATTCGAGCCA